ATGACCATCCCGAGTTTCTTGCTCGGGAAGTTGAGGACGTATTCCGTTCCTATTGCGCGGGCCTTTTGAGGTCTGAAAGTTTCGACCTCAGGTCCTGCGTGATTGAGCCGGAGACGGCGCCCAAGGCGGAGCCGGCTCCCAAGATGAAGCCACCCCCTCCATCTCTGTCGGCAAGTAAGGGCCCTCCTAGGCGATCGGCTCCTGCTGTACATACTGGGTCGGCTCACACCGCCAAGCGTCCGAGAGAGGCTGGCGGTGGCTCCTCTGGGAACGTGCAGATCCCAGGACATTATTACGGCAAAGCCCGTACAAAGGAATCCCCTGCTCAATCCTCTGAACCGCCAATGGGCGGAGCAGGGGGGAGCGCGCAGCCATCCGAAATGGATGTGGATAAGGAGGGGAATAAGGGTGACGAGAAGAAGGACAAAGCGGCCAATGAGGCTGCTGTAGCGTCAAAGAGCGCAAAGCCGCATCCGGCGAAAGCGTCGCGTCCCGAGGCCCTAGGCGGCTCGTTGGATGTGACACTAATCAGCGACGTACGGGAGCGTGATCGGGATATTTCCGATGACGAGTTTTCCCCTACGAACGTGTGCATGTTTCCAGAATCATGGGAGGGCGCCATGCCGACCTCCGTGATTGACAAGGCCGGAGGCTTTGAGCAGTTTAGGAACGAGCTCATGAGGATCCAGAGAGTCCTGGATTCTCCGGCGTTGGTCGACCTTGGTAAGGTCGATCTGGACGCTCTGGGCGAGCCGCCCAAGGAGTACGTCTCGGATGAAGATCACGAGAGTTATGTGGACGATGAGGGAATGGGTCCATATGTGGACAAATTCTCATCAATGGGTGACCGCGACCTAGTGCCCTCAAAGCAGGAGCCGCCTTACTATGAGGCAAAGGCGTGGCGCACCACTGAAGAAGAAATTGAAAGGATGAAGAACCTTTTTCCATTCTTTCGTGCCGAAAATTATCGGCTTATGTCTGCGAGTACTGGTCCCATAGGTACCAAGTCGCACGTACAGGGCGTCCTCCCAACAGGTGCGTCGTTGGAAGAGGCACTGATGGCTAAGCCCGGTGTGTGCCCGATTACGAGCACCTACAACCTCACATACGAGGGTGAAGAGGTTGTGATTGATGCACAGGGCGGGATAGCAGGCAGAATCGCCTGTCCTGCCGGAAATGACATCTTCCATTTTTTCCCCGAAATTAGGGATGTGTCGGCGTTTGTTGGACGAAGCTCCAGGGAATCGCAAATGCTGCTAGAAGTTTTGTCGGGCAACACTGACCCTACGCGGTTAAACGTGAAGCCCGGTGAGCAGCCTCCCTTCTTGTTTGGGACGGTTCCAGACATTCTGGGAGGTTGGATGTCAATGACTCTGATCTCAACGCTACTTGAGGCCCTATACGGGATCCACAAGTGCACGAGTGTCGAGGTAGCGACCTGGGCGGGTGCTCTCGCAAAGGAAAGCCCATCGTACCCTCCAGTCGAGCTCCTAATACGGAAAGTCTGGAGGACAGATGGCACGAGTGTGCGCCCGAATGAGGTGCTTTTTGCGCGGTCCACCCTAATCGGGAGGGACGTGCCGTTCAAAGTTTTCAAGCGTTGGGCACTGCGTGACCGAACGCCTATGGGGCCTTTGCTTAGGCCGATGGGAGCAGCAGAAGTCCCTTATACGGGATACGTGCTGCTGACGATGGCCGAGTATCGGTCCGCCCTCAAAACGAGGTGCATCCGGAGGCCTGGCAAATTCGCCATCACAGTTTTCCCCATGCGACCTGAGCAGGTCTGCAGGGGGGAGATCATGATTGGGATGGAGGGCGCAAAGGTGCCTTTCCTCAAGTTGCCCAGCCCCAATAATGAGGGCGAATTTTATGTTGACGACCGCGTCAAGTACATGGACAAGCGCCATGTCGTTGTGGCCGTTGACCTAAAGTGGATGGCCATCGAGGAAGCCGCCGGCATCTACAAAACCCGACGCGGTTTGATCGCCGTGCGGGAGGAGATACATGCGCCCTTTTGGCGCGCATGCTATCTGCACCAGGAAGGGGATGTAATATACATCCGTCCCTGGGCGGTCCGTGAGTTGAATGTTCAGGGACCGCGGAGAGGGGTGTCATTTTCATGGGACAATGCTCCCATGCATGACTACTGGTGCCCTCGGTGCGCGCATTTGAACATGTATGGCACCATTCTATGCAATGGTTGCCATCTGCCGATTTTCTATCGTGAATGGGTGCCAGGCACCGTCCGCGCTCTGGTTAAGCATGGACAGCCAATCTGGCTGAGCGAACTCAAAGCAGTTCGCCCCAGCAGCTGGCATGAAGGGGAGACCGACGCGTGGGCCCCTCTCATGGCATCGGTAAACCCGATTCGCGAGGTGGTCAGCTGCATGATCACCGGTTTGCGCTGCGCGCCGCATCTTGTGCACATTCCCAATGCGGATATTGTGCAAGTTGCGTTTCAGGAGGTTGCAAAGGTCACCTCAAAGGACACTCACGCTTGTGTGCGGGCGAGTGATGAGGCTCTCGAGCGGTGGGTAGCGAAGCAGCTGCTCATCGAGGAGAGCAACACTGGCGTCTCGATTCCCGACAATATGTCTGTCATGGCATATTTAATCGACCACCCGCAACAGGCGGCGCAATGGGGTCGTCATATGACGAGAAAGGGCAGTCTAAATTCAGCATTTGCCCTTTACCTCTCTGTGCATATCTTTGATGCCTACCGCATCGGGATTGAGGACGGGTATTTGGTTCCGCTGTATGGCCTAGGCGCCTCACGCGCGGATATCATAATGTCGTTGGTACAGGCTGAGCGACGCCTCACGGACTTCAATACTGAAGATCCGAGTTTCGACGCTTCCACCGTTCTTGATTGGAATATCGACTCTTTGCGGGCAAGTGGTGGATCCATCACGGCCCCAATTGAGTATGCTGAGGCATACATTTATGTCGAAGACAATAAGGTTGACATGGTCCCCGCTTCGCGGCGCGACGGCCAATGCGCCATTGTCTTTGCTGACCCGCCGGTTGGGAAGCACCACAGGCGGGCAGCCACTCCTAGGGGAGACCAACGGTCTGCCACCCCGCGACCTGAATCCAGGTCAAAGGGTGATCAGCAAAAGGGCAAAGCCCCTGCACAATCCTGGCCCAAGGGCGGAGGTCACAAGGGTGACCAGTTCCCAGGAAAGGGTCACAAAGGTGATCAGTACAAAGGCAAGGGTGGCCAATACGGCTACCAACAAGGGCAGTTCGGTCGTGGCGGATCCGCCAGATCGAGAACTCCCACTGGCGGGTATCAGCCTGATGCTCGCGGGTCGGGATACAAGGGTGCTCAGGCAGCCCCTTTCCCGTTCCCAAGCCCGATGTACCCCGCTTTCCCAATGGGAGGGTACATGCAACAGCCAATGGCTGGCATGATGCCGCAAATGTGGCCTGGCACAATGCAGCAGGGTTGGCAGCCGCACATGCAGGGTGATCCACGCGAGTTCGAGAATCCGAACTCGCCGCATACCCCTACCTGGGGTGCGGATGATGAGTTGGCCGAGACCGTGCCTCCTCCTCCTGGGGACTGGAACCTCAACAAGGGGAGGGGACGGCACGGCGGCGGACGACATCGGTAATACCTGGTGTCCGTCTGCATCTTTTGCGTAGCGGCGCCAACGCGCGCGTGCTTTCATTCCGAAATTCACATAATGGACAATGCTCCCTGTAGTATTTCTATGTTTGGGCTATTCGCCATTCCAGAATTCAACTGCATGCGCAGCTGTGCGCTATTCGCGCTGGCAGCGATCACCTGTCAGGTGTGCGTCGCCGCAGCAAGGCAGTTACCCTCGCCGGTGTCTACGGCCGCTGGTTGTCAGCATCGTCCAGCACCGCTGCTGCTGCTGGAGATGGAACTCATCAAGGTGCTGCGGTGAGGACCACGGATGCGCTGCACCGCTGCCGGTGAAGTCCTACTCGGACCTGAACCGCTGATTGCAGCTGGTGGTGTTCCCACTGAAGGTCTTTGTGTGATCGCGCGCCTAGACGGTGCTATTTTAAAGACCAAGGTCTTGTGGTCAAAGCACCATGTTTCAACCAGTAGGCCAATGCGCCTAAATCATGAATTCAGGATATAAATCCACTCGAACCTTACGGTTCGATGTGGTTGCATTGCAAACGTAATTTTATTTCATGCCTGCCATTCTGGAGTTGAATCTTTGTTTCTGTTTCTTTTTGCTTTCTCTTGTTTGATTTGGCTACCGGCGCGAATCCGCCCCATACCCGTAATTCGGGGTGGTGGCGGGATCCGGGCACCAATGAGTGCCCGGGTATGGGGTCGCGAACCCTGGTAGCCTAATCGGCTTTGTTGTTCTTGTTTATTGCATTTCAACTTCAACATGGCCAATGCGCCTTTCCAAATTCACTCCATCTCTTTGTACAGTCGAGGGGGGTGTTTTTGGGGGCATGTAGTTTTATCATAGCATGTTTCCATGCCACGGCCAATGCGCCGTTTGGCTCAAGCTTTTCAATCCGGCGATCAGCCCTTGCAATTTCGTCACCGCACGCCGCGTCACATCACGCTCGTCAGCAACAAGGAGTGTTGCTGCCGAGTGCCCGTGGTGGCGTTTCCGGTGGAGGTTGGTCGGGGGTTCTGGTTGGGGTTGGTGCGCATTTGGTTTGCTTTGCTTGCTTCGCTGCATTGTTTGCCTGCCTGGTTTGCTGCTTTGTGCTTGCTTTCGGTTGTCTCTGCCCTTGCTGGGTTCATTCATCTTTTGGTTAAAGGCACCCTGTTTGGTTCGTTTGTTGTGCCAGCCGGGGGCACCGCTTTGCCCTTGGGACTGGGGGACTTAAACAATCTCTTCTTGTTGGTGGGATTGGGCATGTTTATTCTCTCCCGAAATACTGTTTCAAACCCTTTCGCACACAGGAAACCTGCCAGCCATTTGGGCCCAAGATTTTCGGAAACATCCCATCGCGCAAGCACCCGGCGCACTTGCACCACACATGGAAGCCAGGCCAACCTTTCCGCTGTGATACTTGTCGAACTTTTTGAAGGCAGCATCCTTAGCTGAGCTCCGTCGAGAAGACAGGGTCACATGTTCCCCTTTTTGCACATCCCAAAGAGAAACTGAAGTGAGTATGGGTCAAAACTAAACCACCAGGAAACCGCAGCTGTTAGTTTTTGTTTCCATTTACCAGGGTTCAATTATGGGTACCTATTTTCTGACCCACACCCAAGTGTTCAAAACACCTTGAAGGACTACTATAAGGAGCCCCGTCGCAAGTGTGTCGATTTCCATGGAGCGTCGATGGTCTTCTCTTCTTGGGGGGTGAGCTCCTGAGGCCATGCGCGCACTGCTCACAAGGGTTTGGGTCGAAATAGGGGAACCCTCCGGCAATATATATATATATATATCGGTATATATACATATATAGCTGTGGCTCAAGAACATGTACCAAAATGGCGCCTTGGTAAATGTAACTAAAGACTAAGACCTGCGTAACCCTAGCTCTTGAATTTTGAGGCACACCCAAATATATATATATATATATATGCACACACATATTCTGTCTTTCCTTTTTGGAGTTCCTTTAAACCAAGCTGACACGGGCACCCTCAAAACACGCACGCCCAACAAGAGAAACCTCGCCTCAGACTGCTTTCCCTTGCTCGTGTCCGGCGGCTTGCCCACAGTCGCATGTCCAAACACGCCCAAGAACAATCACGGGCGAAAAACCAATCCTAACATCCATTACTGATTCAAAGCCAGAACAGGGAATCGCTGTCGGAAGGTCCTGATCCTCAATGGCCCCCAGGTGACAAATAGGCACTAGTAGGCTGCAATGGCTGGCCATTAGCAATATTAGCATGTGGGTTTGGAGGGACCCTTTTTCGTGGCTATAAGGGAAAGCCACGCTTTTCTTAAGGTTGTCTGTTTTTGTTTCTCCTCTTTTTTTCTTCTTCTTTTCGCGGCATTAACTCAGAACCAACATGACAACCGAAGCCATGTTAGGCATCCACGAAAGCAGACATGCCCGTGTGAACAAGCCAAAGGCCGCTGTCGGTCCTTCCAGGTGCCAGCCTGCGCTCTCGGCCCCCGCATCACTGGGCGCGGGGTTGCAGGCGCAGAGCCCCCTGAACGAGTTGGCTGACTCATTCTCGGATTCGGGGTGCATGCGCGCAGTCTGGGGAAGAAAACAAACCGAAAGATATAAGGTCTGCTCCGCACCCATATCGCCAGAAAAAGAAAAAACGGGGAAAAACAAAAACAAAACACATGTTTCGTGCCTGGCGCAGTGCTGGGCCGGGGCGTCAGCACAACATCCAGGACCTATCAGGAAACTTCGGCTTGGCCGCGCCCAAGCCCGAGCTAGCTTCAGCGACCCCCGCGCGAAATGGACCCGTAACCGGTCTCAGGTCTCCGCGTCTGAGATGGGAAGGCCTCTGGAGATGAGCCCCTGAACCTCACGAAATGCAAGCAGTGGAAGGCTAAACCAGCTGACACTTGTTGATTTAGGAACCGGGCACCCATGTTCAGGCTTACAAACAACAAAGCAACCCATGGCCACAGGCTCCCTTCGTTTTCAGACATACCCAGATCACTGTGGCTCAAAAAAACGGTTCCAAAATGGAACCCTGGTAAGTGGAAACATGGACCAACACCTGCGTAACCCCTCCTGTTTAATTTTGAGCCACACCCAAATCACCGTGACACGAACGCCTCTCCCCCTTTTTCTTCCCGGTAGAATGCGCTGAGCTTCGGGCTGCTGCTTCGTGCGAGTGGGCCGGGGGTGGCAGCTTTGGGGCCTTCGGCACGCCCATCGCCTCGGATCTTTGCTGGATTTGGGTATGAATTCTCTCGGTTGCGGTATAAGTTCAACTTTTAGTGGTTCAATGGAAAACCCATGAGTTGGCAAATTCGTAAAAGTACTAACATCCAAGCAAAATGCAACAAAGTTTTCGGAATGGACGGGGGATTCATATCCACCAACAACTTTTTTCGGCGGGCCCCTATCAACATTCACAGAGATGTCAATTGAAACCATGCCAGGTCTTCCAACCAACAGCGCTCAGCAGCTCAAAATGGCCCCCAAGCCAAAACAAATGACATGCCATTCCCTTCAGCTTCCGAGGGGCTACTCCCTCAAGGGGCCAGGGCCCAGCGGAGCCAGGGCGCTCAAACGGAGCGGCAGACATGGGGAGGCAAATGGGTCGCGGAACCCCTGGTGCACATCATTGAGGTGGGAAGAAAACTGCCCACCCACCTTTTTGGAGGGCTGCTCCTCATCAAACATTCGGTATCCACTTGTCTGTGCATGAACTGCTCGAGTTTTCCATCGGACGCGAGTCTGCTGCCTTTTTCCCGCTTTTCTTGCGGAGAGCTTCAATTCGGCCCGAGCTCGGCTCCGGGCTCCTGCAGGGCCTGACTTTTGAATTATGGCGTTGGCTGTCGATGGGGCCGCACACGCTTCAGGCTGCAAGCGAGGCCTAGCACCAACTCATCTCCGACATGCTCCTTGCAGATCGGTTTCCCGAAGACAAGGCGAAGGGTTCCTTGGCCGGAGGGCAGAATCGCTCCAATCTGAGCAGTTCAAGCTGTTCTTCGCTTTTCGGGCCAAAAACGTCTGGGCCTGACACCCAACGAAAAACAATTGGCCGAGTCTCGGGGATGGTGATGCCTGTGGGCACTTTGGCTTCCCTGTGAAAGACTTTGGATTCGCGCTGCAGTTGCTCTTCTTGCTGCCTCTGCGCCTCGGATCGAGCGGCAAACTGCTTGCGCCAAGCGCTTCAGCGAGAGAGGCTTCATGTGGACCGCAGCGCTACCTCTTTTCAGGAAGGCCCTTTGGTGTGCCGTGTGACGAAAACCAAGGGCACCATGAACCATCATGGCCTCTAGACATTTTCAGCATATCCCAAGAAAGGCACACCCCAATGAGCTTAGAGCGAGGGGCAGGTCGACGGATAGGTGTGATGAGATGGGATCATATCACATGAGAAAACGGTGGAGATGGATCGGTTGGCAGACGGCTAGGTTGGCAGCGGCCAGGTTGCTAGACAGAAAGATAGAAGTACAGCTAGGGAAATTGGTGGAAAAATAGGTTATACAAATAACTGCATAGACCAATAGATACAAAATAGATGGAGAGATAGCTAGACTCGGAAATAGATACGCCGCCTATAAAATTAGCGCGCTAAGTACACTTTCCGAGCTCTGGATTGAAACTCGCAGGTGTTCAGTACAATAGTAGTATGCGATGTGAGCAAGGTTTACTAGCTCAGCTCCAGCTCGGAAATCCCAGCCTTCCAGCGAAAATGCGGGAAGTACACTTTCCTTCAGCCCTGACCCACAAAAAACAAAAAAAAGCAAATTGCAACCCAGCACTGCGAAAGTAGCGTGCGAGGTGCGCTTTTCCAGCTCCAGCGCGACACATGACTGGAGGCTCATTCAGAAAGGCGGCTTCTATCAGGTTTTTGAGCTTTCCATGCCCGCCTATCTATTTGCTTGTCTGTCTACCTAGTCATGGCATCCTATCTGTTTGACTATCTCCCTTTTGACCTATATGTCAATCAATCTATCGATCTTATGTTCTGTTACATCGCATCTGTTTGTCTACCGATCTTTTTGTCTATCTATCTATCCGTTTGTCTCTGTCTCTGTAAAATCTATCCACCTGTCCGTCTGTCTGTCTACTTGTCTATCATCTGTCTAACCTGTCCATCTGTGTATCCAATGTAGTTCTCGATGTCTCCATCTGTGTTCTCAAGCAACCCGCCGCCGGATCTTTTGACCAAACCTACATGATCCCAGCTTGGTAAGGGTTGTACGACCTCAGCCCTCAGCCAGGGGAACCGAACACCTACCAGAATTGCGTGTAGGTCAAAGATAGAGTTCCCAATGGAACCCAAAATGGACGGTCCATATCCCGGTGGTTTTGACTCATAATGCTGACCCCCTCTTCATGCTCTCATCAACCACCACAAAACCCACCCCCTATTCATAAACCACTTGGTTGATTCAATATCTCTTTCTGCTCCACCGTTGATTCAATATGAGGTCTGCATTAGTCTTTTTGAAGTTGGCTTTTTGCATAAGGGGGAGATTCCCTTGCATCACAGAAGTGGGTTGCGTTAAACCCCGAGTGATCCCACGACCCTGGTTTCGACCCAATTGGCCATGGGTCAAAAGCCAAATCGTACCCCTAGCCCCACTAAAATAGGTTCTAAAATGGGTGGTGCACCTACCCCAAAATGGTATCCCATTGTTTTCGACCCAGTCCCATTTGGGTCGACGCACGTCGACGCATCGACTCCATGCCGTCGACCGAAGGCTTCGGCTGCTTCCTGCCGCGGCGCCAGGCTGCGGAGCTCGAAGAAGCGGCCCAGGCCGCTGACCACCACCGGCTGAGAGTCCAACACCTCCCGCAGCTCGGGTCCTGAGAGCGTGCGCGCCTTTGTTTTCTTCTCCCTTTTTCTTCTCCAATGGCATCTCGGGTTTTGAGAGAAAGTTGTCTTGAAAAACCAGCCCTCTGGAAACAGATGCAACAAAGCCTGGCGTACGAGCCCTTCTTTCTCGAAGTGCTTTCTCCCTCTCCCTCTGCCGTTGCGTCCAGAAGGGTCTTGACGCAGCAAGCAACGAAAAAGGTGCCCACTGAGATTCAGGGGCACCAACAACCTTCCAGGACAACCCGGGCAAACATCAAGCAGGAACTTGCGCGCCTTTCTTTCTTCTCCGAAGTTGGTTCATGAATTTGGGCCAACACCGCTTGCCATGGTAGCTGACGTTGGTTGAAAAAACATAAATGGAAGTTTGACTTGCGATCGGTGCGAGAGATGCAGGGAATGAGAATTGGAATGACCCCGACTGGATGGTTGTTCTAGGACGCCCAGGTTCATTCCATTTCTCATTCCCTACTGAGCACCAGCAAGGCAAGTGTCCCCCACTCGCCCGCCAAGTAACTACCTGCGAAGCCGAGGCTTCGAGATCAGCGGATATGGACAAACCAATTGCTTGCTTTAAACAACATGCTGGTGCTCAGTGCTTTGGGGTAGAAAACTGTGAAGCTGGGAAGCCCCAGTTTTGGAAACAGGCTAGAAGAATTGATTTCCTTCCCTGGAAGGTCAGCAAACATGAATTACATGCGAAGAGACAGATGTAGCATATCAGACGCCTTGAGAGCAGCCGAAATCTTGTACACAAGGCTGCCTTTGAAAGAAACAGGCAAGCCGAACCCCGTTGCCCCTTACTAGTTTGTCTGGTCTTTCTGCAATTGCTGATCGTTACGCAGCTTATGTAAATACATGCGTCCGCACCTTGTCGTGTGAGCCGATCAGAGCCACCTTGGGCTGAACTTGTGAGGCCAAGCGTTCCTGCCAAAGCTGCGTTGAACTGGGCTGGTTGAAACTCGCGACCAACAAATGGGGAGCAGTTGCAAGCACCAAAAGAAAAGCAGCTGTTGCTTGTGCCTTTTTGAGCGAAGAGGGAAACAACTGGCTTGTCAAATCTTGTAAGCCTGAACCAAAGACCAAAACCCGCGTAACCCCAGCTCTTTAATTTTGAATAATTTTGAGTCATGCCCATTTGTTCAATTCGGGCTCTCTTTCAGATCAGCCAGGGCTCGGAACGTGCAGCCCGCCACCTCCGCGCGCTCCCTCTCCGCGTGCCTCTCGAGCAGCTGCTCAGCCTTGCGCTCCTCGCATCCACGCAGGCACGCCCAGGGGCCGTGGGTTCAAACGAAGGCACGCGCGCCAATATGGCTGTGGGCCAAAAATAGGTACCCAAAATGGCACCCTGGCAAATGGAAGCAATGACCAAAACTTGTGGTCCCCTGGTGAGTTTAATTTTGACCCATGGCCGTATGGCCATGGGTCAAAAGCCAAATCGTACCCCCAGTGAACATCCCAATCCCCACTAAAATAGGTCCTAAAATGGGTGGTGAATTCACCTACCCCAAAATGGGATCCCATTAGTTTTGACACAGAGCCATATGGTTCCAAACTCATGGGAAACTTCGTGAACAAATGGATGCTTGGCTGATGTTTGCAAATGTTTGCGTACGTGGATGTCTTTTCTTTGGGCTTGGTACAGTGCCAGCTTCAGTCTTGTTTTGGAGGAAACCGCATGGAAACCAGGTGCCAGTTTGGGCCGATTGTCCTGCTGCTGCCGGATGCTGTCCTGAGATGTGACATACGACATGGAAACCCCACCAACAATCTCGCAGGCGATCTCGCTTTACATCACAGCCCGCCAAAAAACAGCTTCAGCTGCATGCCTCCAGGCCTGCCCAGTGCCAAGTGGCGCTGATGTCGTCCTTGACAAGAACGCAAAAAGAGACAAAGCCAAAACAAAACAAAAAAAACAAAAACAACAACGAAGTCCCAGCTCTTGCCTCCCACCCGAGGGCCCCGCCGGGGAGGAGTAGTGGGGCTTCACGTGCGCGAAGCGCTTCGAGGCTCGTGGGTCCAGCTGAGGCTTAAAGCTGCACCTGAGCCGAGCCCCGCAGCAATGCGTATGGAGAGTCGGTGATGGTGAAAGGAATCCGCGCTTGCCATGGCCAGGCTCACTGCGCATTATCCGAACGCAAAGCTTTACCAGCCCCGACCTTGGGGGGGGGCTACATCGCAAGATTGACAGACATGAGTCATGAGGCGTTTCCGGCCGGCTCCTCCCACGTTCCGGCAAGATGCTCTTGAGCCAGCGGAATGGCTTTCGCGCGCTCCTTCTCCACTCCTTCTTCGTACAGCCGCAGGTGCACACCTGCGCCGGACAAGTTTGGGGGAAACCAAAAGGAGTTGTTCCTGTCCCAGCACCCTCCCAATGGCTAGCTCCATACGTCGACAACCCAAAATACCGAAAGGAACACATGGGTGGCCACCTGCCTCGCGAAGGAGAGCTTGCCCTTCGGGCACTGGCAATCCTTGAGTGCTGATATCTGCGAGTTGGTGCTGGGTCGATCTTCAGTTCAGTTGTTGTGTTCTTACCTCAAACCACTCCAGCATGCATAGGTGCATCATGGAAGCAGGGTGGTGAAGGCCCAACATCATCTGGCCATGGGTCAAAACCCCGGTTACCCCCCAGTGAACATCCCAATCCCCACTAAAATAGGTTCGAAAATGGGTGGTGAATTCACCTACCCCAAAATGGTACCATTGGTTTTGACCCACAGCCATCTCTTAAATCTACGGCCTTTGGCCTGCGTGTGGAAGGGAACGCGTGCCCTTCCGCACCTTCGCACGCCGAGGCGCGTCTCTGAGTTGGGGCTCAGCGCCGGCTGGAAGGTGCACTCCCTGCGGCTCCCCCGACACACGCGGGAGCAGTTTGGACCAGTGGCAGACGAACAAAACACGAAAACGAACAAAAATAACAACCGCAATGTGACGCAACATGGGGGTGTCTTTTGCGAGGGTGCCCCTTTTTTGTGCGGTTTCAAAGGGACACCAAAAAGGAAAGCATCGTGTTGGGGGGTCCGCATGGTCCTGTGAACAAGACACACACACACACGTCACATATCCTCAAGACATCTGTGCTTGTAAACAAGCCAACTTTGTCCCCCTGGCTTGTCCAAACCCTTGACTTCGACTCGCACAAAGCCAACTTTAAACCCAGTTTATGAAAAGGGGGGGTCCCTGACATTAGTGGTTGGAAACAGACCACTTTTCGAGGGGCTCCCACTCCCAATAAACTGGTTGGTTGCGTCTTTTTTTTCTGGGGCCAACTAAAACATCACGTCAGCCCTGCCTGTACAAGGCCTCTTGCAGCTTCTGCTGCTCAAGTCGTCTGCGGCTCACGTCCTTCACGGCCAGTCGTTGTATCCTCTCCTCCGGCGTCTCGCCAATCCTTGGCCAAGCGAGGGTCAAAAACATTTGGCCGTGGGTCAAAACGTCAAAGCCAATGGTACCATTTTGGGGTGGGTGCACCACCCATCTTAGTCTATTTTAGTGGGGATTGGGATGTTCACTGGGGGTACCGGATTTTGACCCATGGCGATTTGCTTTTCCAAGAGGCCATGTGCAAAAAAAACTGAGCCCCTGGTGTATCTGGTGCAGTTTTGGCTCGTCCTCCATGTCTCCCCTAAATGGACCATATTGCCTGAAACCCGAAAAGTTTGTCCATAGTGGTAACAGAAAAAAGAAGAAGAAAAAAAGCGCAAAACAAAACAACCCATCGCTTGCAATAGACAACCCCGACAAATCGGACCCATCAGCTCCATTTCGCGACAGAAAGGTGAAAGCTCGAGAGAGGCCCCGGCAGCTCGGCGTTGCAGCTGGTGAGCTGCTCGCTCGACGCGCTGATCCTGGGCCTTCCGAAAATGGCTTAGGGTCCGGTAAATCAGCATGCAGCATGCCTCTAATTGATGGTTTGGATGAATGGTTTCCCATATCCGCTCAACACCGCCAATCCAAACCACCACGCGTTGTGTTTAGCAAAGTGGCGGGGGGAGGGTCTTACAGTACATTGGGCTTCCCTTACATTTGCGAGCCACCACATGCCCCAAGTGGTCTGGTTTATTTTCAAGGTGCCCCCTTGTTTCAGGGCAATTCTTCCGCATGTCACCAAGCCTAGACCGGTGAGTCACCGAGGCTATGGCTGGAAGGTGCAGTCTGCGAGGGCATGCTGGCGACGCACCTGCATCCGGAATTGCTTCTCCTTCTCGAAGCTCTCTTGCCGGGCGATGAAGGCCTCAAGCGGATCGTCTGGAGAACTGGGCTGCCCTCAGATCCGCCCGCGAAAAGTGAATCACTTTGAGCGGCTTAATTCGGAAAACCCATTTAGTTGGCAAAAAGTTGAAGTCCTAACGTCCAAGCAAATCGCACCTCTGAGAAGTGCTGGGTTCAGACTGAGGCCAGCCAGATCCGGCGCTCGAATTCATGTCCTATCACCATTCGGCCGAAACGGCCTTTCGACGGGCAAAACGGTCAGGCAGCGGCAGGAGGAGCCTCGCACAGCCTCGGCCTGCCGTTCCGTCAGATTCTGTTTTACAGGCGATGACAAGAGCAGGTCACACTGCCTGGTGCAAGGCTCAGCGCTGGCAGCCTTGGTCAGTGGGCATCCGGCGCTGTGGAAAGCCGCACGTGAACTGGATGTCTTAGAGTCTCCACCTACTGTTCTCCATTGTAAACAATCGTTCTGAAGCATTGAACACCAAGAGTACTTAGTAGACTTGAACATTGGAGATTGAACATGCCGCACCGCTGGGCGTCTCGCTCTACGCGAGTCAAGGCTTCTGGACCTTCAGCATTCGAGCGTGAGCACATGTGTGTCAAGCATGTGACCTGGGCGTACGGCCGGTCCTGTCTCCGGCGGTTTTGGGCCAGACGTTGACTTCGAGCAGAAATGCAGGGCCGGAACGAGCCCTGCTGACTTTGCCTGAGAAAGCAATGTGCTAGCGCCTGCTGAAGAGACCCTGCCTTTTGAGCCCCAAGGTTAAACCATTTTGAGCATGGTTTCAAAAGGCCAAGGTGAACCATATTTAAACATGTTTAAAACCATGTTGCAAAGTCCAACATGGTTCAACATATTCAAAAACAGGCTCGGGTTGAACTAAATCTTCTTGAATGCCTCTTCTGCAGTAAAGCTGCTGCTGTTCCTCCTGGCTCGCCTTCAAGCGGTCCTGACAAGCTGAGATTCGCTTGGGGCACAGATTTGCTATAGTTTGGTGGAACAAAATGGCACAACACAGGGCAATGATGGGAATTGGGCCAGCTTCTGTTGCCCTGATGTTGCTCGTCTTAGGCACTCAGGAAACTGCGGGAAATCTGGCTCCTGCTTCATTTGCTGAATTGCCTTTGTTCGCAAATGCAGCGGTACACGCCCATTGTCAGATCGATGGTTGATCTGCGGTGTGAATGTGCATTGGTATAGGTCCTCGGCCCGCAGTGCTCACAGCTTGTGTTGACATATTTTGGGCAAGCAAACTGCTCCCTGCCAAGGCACTTCCGCATCAAGGAGCTCCTTGGCCTTGTTGCGCAAAGTGGACCTGGCGACTGCACCGTAGCGACTGTGCATCTCTCGGATCCTCTCATAGATGGCCATGAGTCAAAAGCCCGTACCCCCAGTGAACTTCCCAATCCCTTCCAAAATAGGTCCTAAAATGGGTGGTGAATTCACCTACCCCAAAATGGCTGTGGCTCAACCAAAATGGCCGTGGCTCAAACAAATGGACTCAAAATGGCCCCTACTTTGGCAGGCTGTCTCTTTAGTAGTGAGTTATGTGTTGTATCCAAATTATACATCAATAGTAGGTGGAAGCTTGCCAGATGCTAGGCATCATGCAAGTCTCAGCTAAACACCTGTAGTCCTGGCAATGCAATGTATATGCTTACCATCAATAAGTAGAAGTTAGGCTCATGTTCTTAACTTGAGTAGCTGCTAGTGCCTGCTACTAAAACCAAGATAAGAAAATACGTGTCTTAGAGGGGTTAGCTAACTTTTAGGAGAAAGCCATGTTAAGCATTTTCTTTACACCATGCAATGCTAAAAAGACATGTCACAGTGTGCGGCGAATGTTTGCAAGCATGAACTGTTTAAGTAAAGTATGTTTCTATAGCAAGTTTTTTCAGCAAAGTGAGCCCATCACTGCTTTGTGCTTGCGATTGTGCAGTATGTTTGCAGCTTCCACCAGGGCTTGGCTTGCTTGTGTTGATACGCAGCAAAGCAGCATGTTGCTTGCTCAGTGTTCTATTTGTTGATGGTCTTTTGTGGTGCCATTGTGCCTGTGCCAGCCTCCATGCTTGGCCAAGAATTTGCACTCTGTGTGCTTGGCATCTGGAACTCCATGTTTCCAAGCAAAAAGCCATGCTGGCTTGTGCAAGCTCTTGGCTGTGTTGAGCAATGTCAAAATGTGTATAGGTCCTCAAACACATGTGCATTGCAAATGATTCCTGGTCTTGGCACATTGGCATTGGCTTGCGCGCAATGCTTGCAGTTTCAAGACACCTGCTTGTGTGGCAGCTGTGCGCTTGGTTGTATATAGGTATGGCCCTGCCCCATACAGGGCAGTTCAATGCCATGGTTGTGGACAAGGTGAACCAGGTGAAGAACAGCAACATGGAGCTGAATGTGAAGTGTGAAAGTATCCTGAAGACCTTTGAAGAGAACAGCATCACCTACAAAATCCAGGAGAAAGCTACTGCCTTCTTTGTGCATCCCAAAAACAGAGCTGGGCTGTTGGTGAACCCCATGGACTGCCACGCCAAAGGCTTCAGCATTTTGAAGGTCGGTGCCAAGAAGGCTTTGCTGGAGCAGAACTCCTTGTGCTTTGAGATGGCCAGGACTGAAGCCAAGAGGTTGTCCCAGACAGAGGTGAACAAGTCAGTCATCAATGCCTCCGGTTGCCTTCTTCCTTGCCCCACAGGGCAGGAAAAGTATTTGACTGTCTCTGCAAGCCATGTCACCATGTTCATGAACGGTGTCATCACTGGTTGCAAGACCGTGGAAGGCAACACTGCCACTGGGCACTTGTCTTTGCAAGAGCTGTTGCCAGGCAAGGGCTTGTCCCACCCCTTTGTGGACTTGATCCACAATGGTTGGAGCTGGTTGGTAGTGCCAGCCCACGTGGAGGAGCAGTGGCCTGACCCCCCCTTGCTGTTCCAACAGGCCATGAACTCTTCTCATGGTGTGGCTAAGGACATGGGTGAGATGGAGGTCATGGCCACCATTGCCCAGCACTACCAACACTTTCACAAAGAGGGTGACCCCAAGGCTATGGAGAAGGCAGTGGAGCCTCCCCTTGCTGTTCCAACAGGCCATGAACTCTTCTCATGGTGTGGCTAAGGACATGGGTGAGATGGAGGTCATGGCCACCATTGTCCAGCACTACCAACACTTTCACAAAGAGGGTGACCCCAAGGCTATGGAGAAGGCAGTGGAGCTGGCTGGCCAGTCCCAAACAAGGTGCCATGCGTACATGCCCACTCTGGCCCACTACATCTCGCACTATGCTGGTGATGAGTTTTGCCTGGTGTATTTTCTGGAAACATTCAGTGCTTTGGCAAATGAAACAATTATCAGCTTTTCTTTGTGGCTCATGCACTGTTTCTTTGTGGCTGCACATGGCCTGGCTTCAAGTTTGTGGGGCATGCGTTTCTGCGCCAAGCCTAGGCAAGCAATTCTCTCAGTCTGTGATGCTGGGGCAGGAGTTCTTCCATTTTGTGACCTATGCTGACTTCAAGCAAGGTGGCTCCATGTGCCCCTTTGTCAGGGCCTCCTTACTGGCAACCCAGCTGATCTCCCAGAAAGTGCAGGATGGCATAGGGAAGACCTTAACAAAGAGTGATGTCGAGAAGCTCTGCAGGTCCCCAATCCTTACTCAAGCGGTGCAGCTGGAGGACATGCTTGCCAAGACATGGGCTTTGCTGGCCAACAGCAACATGCCTAGTGAGGACAAGGCATCCTTGTTTGGAAGGATGATGGTGAGATCAATTCTTTTCGTGCTGAAGAAGGAAAAGCACTCCAGGGATGGCAGGTCTTTTTGCGATCTGGCAGAAATTGCCCAGTGCTTTGCTGATGCGATGAAGGCTAAGCATGGGGAGACTCCAGCAGTGACAAAAGACCAGCCTGATGATACCAACAAGAAGCCAAAGACTTTGGCTGACAACGCAGACCCTGTGCAAATTGCATTGATGAAGCACAAGCACATGAAGTTGCATGGCAACTACACTCACAAAGACGCCCCCAACAAGCTGTTTGCCTTCACCAGCATTGATGCTGAACAGGCAACATTTACCCACCAGCCCATGTTTGCCCAAGAGGTTGAAACCAAAGAGGTGCACCTGAAAGACCTGGGGCAACCTTGGAAGCATAGCTAGAAGGTTGTGGCTTGCTTCTCTGTGTGTGCTTTTGGAATTCTAAACTTTGTGCTACCATGCTGTGTGCTTGGTGCCATGTAGACCTAAGGCAGTGGAGGTTTACCAGGCAGACCCCGCCTTCTGAATGCGCTGTGACCCTGGCCAAGAATTGGTTCCCAGAACATGCTGCTGGCATGCAGGAGGAGTGCCTCAAGGCCTGTGTGCAGCATTCCTTGTGGCAGGTCTACAAGGAGAGCAAGCACTTGGCTGAGGATGACTTTGTCTTTGTGATGAACCCTATGGGCTTGCGGAGCAACAAGGACTTCAAAGCCAACAGCATCAAACTCTTCCCCATTGGAAGCATTGCCAAGCTGAAGGATGAGAAGCACAACAATGTGGTTGTCAAGGTCACTGGGTCTCAACAGCAGTTCGTTGTCCAAGCACCCAAGGCTTTTTCCTGGGAAGCAGAGAAGGAGTCTGGGGCTTTGGTTCACTTCTTTTGGGTGAAGGCAACTCGGGAGGGTGACAAGGTGAACATGCAGTGGGCAACCCACAAATCCAATGGGTTGCAAGTGCCAATTTTGGTGAACAAGCACCCCATTGCCAAGCACACCCAGCTGCTCATGGACAGTGAGAAGCTTGAAAAGGAAGGTGTGCATGAAGAGGCCAATGCAGCAAAGCCTGCAAAGAAGAAGCCCAGGACTCAGTGATGTCGCGCTGGCTTATGTAAATAAATCTTTTGAGGCATGGTTGAGGAACAACAGTGCCTGTGTGGCTTTGCAGTAGATCCCAAGTTACCTATAGAAGATGCATGTGTGCCAAGAAAAGTCACTTGCTGCTTGGCCTTGCAGGCTATGTGCTTTTGTGCCAAGTAACATGCAGTGATTGGAGCGCACACAGTCTTTCTATTGCAGGGCTTGCCTCTACCCAAGACACTGCACAGGTGCACATTTGCAACAAATGATAAGCCTGGCCTGTGACCACTCCATGCCCTGGGCACATTTGCATCACCTGAAGGCATGGGCGCAATGATTGTCAGGTTCATGTGTGGCTGTGGAAAGCTTGCTAGTTTGCATGCAATGTTGTTGTGAAAGCCATTGTAGCTTGACATGAAAAGCCAGTGTGGCTCTGCGTGGTAAGCCATTGTGGCTTTGCATGGTGAGCCATGGTGGCTTTGCATGGCAAGCCATTGTGGCTTTGCATGGTGTAAGCCATTGTGGCTTGACATTGTCAGCCACTTCAGTGTGGCTTGACACTCTGCATGGTAAGCCATTGCGGCTTTGCATGGTGTAGGCCATTGTGGCTTGATATTGTCAGCCCTTTCATTGTGGCTTGACACTCTGCATGGTAAGCAATGGTGGCTTGACATGGTAAGTCATGGTGGCTTTGCATGGTGTAAGCCAATGTGGCTTCGCATGGTAAGCCATGCTGGCTTTGCATGGTGTAAGCCATGGTGGCTTGACACAGGAAGCCATTTCATTGTGGCTTGACACTTTGCATGGTGTAAGCCATTGTGGCTTTGCATCGGGCAGAAGGTGAAGGAAAAGGACCCCTACATGGACAACATCGATGGCGAGGAGAATGACATGCCAGCACATGTGGACACACTTGCATTCCAGCTCATGGGGATCAATGTGCCTCCTCCACCTGGTGGGCCTGCTGCCAAAAATGATGGGCCGGCTGCTGTGTCTGCCGGGTCAGGAAGCAATAAGCCAACAAGGGCCTTCAAGAACCCCACTGGCTTCCAAAACCGACTCATGGCTTGTTTAGTTGTGGAATGGCCACGGGACTGGCATGTTGATGATGTGTGTGTGTGGGCAGGTATGTGTGAGCTGAACCACTGAATCTTACCAAGGACTGATGAGGGTGTGTGCGCACTACGCCTTGGGGAACTGGTCAAGAATTGAAGAAGAAATTGCCAATGCAACTTGGGCTGCACATAGTTCCATAACCTTAGTTTGGCTGCATACTTGACCCAGCCGAGTTGCTACTGACATGAACCTGTGCCCAGGTACAAGCTCACACCAACATGGGGTCAATCAAGAAGAAAGGACGAAGCAGCCAATTCTGGTAGATGGAAAGCGCAGCTGTGATGAGTACATGAACACTGTTCTGAGCTGGCTCACTGCAATGGCAGTAGTTTGTGGGGATGCCTAAAACACATCAAATTCAGCAGACTGAATTCAAGTCC